TTTCGAGAAACTCGAGGAATGTGTATTAAGCTGCTTTGAAAGGTGCAGGTTGTTGCATGCATACCTCGACTTAAAGACGTCAATTAAATGGTTGCAATTACTATTACTTCATCTTTGAATAATGCTATTAAAAAGAAGATACATGCAATGTGACGATTTCATCATCTAGAGCACATAACATCGACTACAGACAATTGAATTTCCCTTTGAGGATCAATAGAGTCCTTATCTTATCTTATGAGAGACTCCGACAATCTGTACAAAAGGGGCAAAAAGCTGTGATGGAATTCCTATCACGGGCTAATAAACATCTTCTGTGAACACGGTTGTTACTGCATCTGTATTTATGTGCTGGTATCTAAAGCTGCAAAGACTTTTCTTTCTTCTTGTTTTGTAATTGCCTCACTAACCAATGATACTTCAGGAGTAAGAATTGAAAATTACAACTCAGAGATCTGGGGTAATTTTTATTATTATAATGAAAGATCTTGTTTTGATGTTATTGTATGCTTTTCACTTACCTCATTGTAACGACTGAAAACATTAAATCTGAGCTGCAAATTTACAACAGCTTTGATTAAACATTTGTGGATTAAAACTGCGACTTAATCAGCTCCCATAACCCTTAATGCCTTTTGTATCATATTTGATACTTTTATGATACTTCTATCAAATCAATATGATCAACAATTTACTGAAAAAACACCTGAATACAGTCCGATAAATGATAAAAAAGCCCTTTTGTGGTTTATCAGTTTCCAAAAACATCTAATGTATCAAACGAGATAAATATATTTATTGAATTTTAAGGACATTTTGAATTTTTTTTGTTTTTCAGTAGTAAGTGAAATAAACATTTCAGCTCCAAAAAATTTGAATTTTCTGGCCATAGTTTGTGGTTTCAGGCATTAAAGGGACAATTTTATTGTAATGTTAGCGTCACCTAGTTTATTTGTGTTCAAATACACATTTTCACGTTCAGTTCATGTAGTGTAGTACATCCCTGTTTGTTACATCTTGACTTATACTTCGCTACTACACCGCTCTCTGTCTGCATACAGAGATGCACTGAGATTAGGTAAGAATTTTCTTGCTGATCGAACAAACGAAGCAGCGATCAGGATGGAGAGAAACGCACTGAGACTATTGTCTTACCTTCCCCCTTTTTAAAGGAGTCAGAGTCCATCCTGTAAAAACCTGACAGCTCAGCATCTCTCCTCCTACTGTAATCTGTATCGAGCGGTGTGTAGTGAGTGAGTGAGTGAGTGGTGAAGTGACTGAGAGAACAAGAGAGAGAGAGGGGGAGAGAGTGTTGAAAGTGACTAAAGCAGAGCATAGCAGCATATTCAGATTTTTACATTTTATTCACAAACACATTAAAAATATTCAGGCACCCTGGGGACTGCCTATAGTGCGTAATCCCTGTGTAATCAATGCTATGAGGAACATGTATGTTTGAATTGGTGGTATATGTAACCCTCGTCTCACCCATCACCCACTGTTAAGCAGGGAGGTGTGGGTGAGCTGCTGTTTGTGCTTTTGGGTGGGGCTGCAGTGGGCTTGGACAGTCAGTCAGTTATGGTGTTACACGAGGCAAAATGACACAGGTGACCTTTTGTTTTACACCGTGCAGCGATTTCTCACCTGCTCGGCCACTATCAGCATACATGATCGACCTCCTTCGCTCAGTTAGTTTCATTTTGACTCAGCTGTCATTTACTTCAAATATTTATATTTACTTTCAGTTGCACCTCAGATATCTGTAACGTATCTGTATGATCAAGTATGCGCCACCACACGCAGACACTTCGCTCAGGTCGACTGCTATGTGCTAGTCATCAGCAGGTCTGCTGCTGCATTTGCATTCTGCTTTGCTAAGCAGCAGGACTACTGTAGAGGTGGGGGATCCTGCTGCACTAAAGCTGTGGGTGGTGAGAGGTGATTCAGGCTGCGTTTGATGTTATTTTTTCCAACTAGACCTCGAGTGAGAGAAGGTGTTGTTGAAATATAGGTCACATGAAAAGAGTAATAAGTAAACTAGAGGTTGAGGATTTGTAAGAAGAGTCATAACTAGGCTGCTCCCATTTCTTACGCGCACACACACACACGCAGACTCTTGTAAATTGATTCTTAGGTCATAGTTTGAATGCATGGGAAATAAACCATTAACCACTTTGCATCACTTTCTTCTTTCCACTTTCTTACATCAGGCTTTAAGTCAACTCGCACTTTGGAGTTTAGAAACAGTGGGGGCTGCAGGTTAAGAGGGGCTACTGTGGGAGTGTCTGTGTGTGTGGGTGTTTGAATGACCTAGTGAGTATGATGGAGACAGAGAAGGGAGGGAGGGCTTCAGTGCGCCCAAAGCTAAATCGGGGCAAGGCCACTCCCTGCCCCAGCTCTTTTCAGTCCGCCAGCCGCTTCAGACCAGTTTGAATGTAGGTGAACAACTGCGTAGAGGATGAAATGTGTCATCCAATTCATCTCTCGCTCTGGCTGTCTGATAGAGCTAAAGATGCTTCCCTTCATACTATTACAGTTTATCTGTATCCAGAGCAGCTCAATTAATAACTGAATTTCATTTCTGATCATTAATTTAAACTTCACATTAAATAAGTCTCTTAATACCCCCTCGCTCTCCTTTCTCTACCCGCAGATTTCTTTATTGTTTCATCAGACAGCACTCCCTGTGCTTCTCATCTGTTAATAACACCAGATGAGATGAGATGAGCCTCAAGCTGCGATCTTTGTTATGTAAGCACAACCAGTTTTTCGATCTTGACTTTTCATTTGCTGGTTTATTTTGACTGGCTTTTTAATACTGGGACATTAACAGTAATGGAGGGTTGTGGATGCTGGGAAGTTTTCCCTTGTGCATGTTTGGATAGAGATAAGATCAGGAGTCCATGTGAGTCAGGGCACTTTGGTAATTCTGCAGTCCAGGTTGTGATCGTTGACAAGTAGGTCATATCAGCAGCGGGGTCGCGAAACTGTGCGAGTCATCACTACACATACTTCACATGTGTGCTCTTTATGTTTGCATGTGCACATGCAATGCACCTCTGTATGCACAGGTGTGTTTGCTTAGCAGCTATAGGAGAAAGATGACAGTTTTAGTTCAGAATGGAGGCCGGCATGGGTACGTGTTTGAAGGAAAAGTCTGCTGCCTGAGTTTGCTCCTGATTTGCATACTGTGCAGATCGCTGTAAGTATGTCAGCTTATGTATGGCAGGTGTAATATACAAATCGGGGTTAGTTCTGCTTTACAGTATGCAGGCTCCAGAGCTCCTCAGCCGTGTTACCTGAATCTGCCCTGACATTAGACATTGAGAGGTGCCCTAGAAATGTGTCAGATGCTTCTAATGTGTCATCTTGGCACCAAACCATCTCTTCAAAGCTGCCCCTCATACTCTCCCTCACCTCCCTCCCTCCCTCCTTCTGTGCTCTACTAACCTAAACTTTCCCCAGGGCATGAAGGGGAGCCAGGTAACACAAGAGCCCTGCCCTTTGAGAGCCGGGGGCATCTCACCTGCCAAAGGCAAACACGAGTGACCTGGATGGAGCCGTAACCTTCATCGATCTATCCCCCCTGTGTGCTCTCACTTCTCCTACTTTTCCTCTCTTCCCGCGCACAATGACCTACTTTCCCCCTGACCTGTTTATGCAAGCTCCAGTGCAGCAAATCAGGAAAAAAGGGGACGCAGCAAAACAAGGAGTGTCACCTTGGTGCAGTCCCATGGGTGCTTTGTCGGGTGGCTATTGCAATAAATCTATTATCTTATGGAGATGACAGTGTGAATTATTTTATGCATGTGTCGGAATGTGTGTTTGTGCACAGGCATGCATCTATATGTACATGAATGGTGAAGGGCACCGATGCGTCAGGCTCAAAGAGGTGCTTTGTGTGCAAGCTTAGATCAAGTTAGCGCATTGGGTTAACTTTTCACTCATGTGATATCCCCTCCCCTCCTCCTTCCTTCCTTCCTTCCTTCCTTCCTTCCCTCCCTTACATCGCTCCTCCTTCTGCCCTTTATGTTGTTATAAACATGACCCCCTTTTGGTTTCTAAGAAGGCAGAAGAGAAAGCAAAAAATCTGATATGATACATGCATCCTGGATAAATGACCCATTTAAGGATCAAATGATGCAACAGATATTAATCTTAATTGAACTGCATTTGCTGTAAAATTACTACACTTTGCATCTGATGGAATGATGCGATTTCTTCTGAGTGAAAATGAGTAGATGTGATACTAAAATATGGTGCCATACAGCAGTGAGACTGAACTTTGATAACGCAGCTGCCTTTTCTGTGTCAGGACAAAGAATGCAGTGGGACACAGCCAAGAGGTTGGCGGGACAGTTGATCTGGCAGCAGCAGCCAGAGGCTCAGACTGTCTCTGCCCTGGCTTTGTCCCGAACATCAAACAGTACCAACTCTCTCCTCTAATATGGGTCACCCTTTCTTTATGCTAACATGCAATAAATTTAGTATGTCAAGGGGGGCCACGCCTGTTCAGGTTGTTTTGACTATAGTGATTTTCCTGCTCAATAACTTGTTCATAAATTAAGTGCATTGTCTAAAATCAGAGGCGTTTGTCGGAACATGAGTTCATTTTTGATGATGCATATAGCTCATGAGTTTATAACAGAAGTAGGTCAGTGTTACATCAGATAAGCTTGCCAGGGGAGTTTTCTGGCTGCACTGGGCAAAGTGTGTCACAGTGAACCTTCTCTCATTTCAGATTAGCCTTGGATGCCAAAAAGAGTGTGCAGCCTCTGGGGAACGATGGTTCGTTCTATTCAAAGCCGCCTGCACTCTGAAGCGAGGCTGTCGATCCTCTGGGTTCAAGCTTTTGAGAAGGGCTAACGCACAAATAACTTAAGACTTTGCTTAAAATAGTGGCGTGTTTTTATATATAAGTTACATGTCGAGGGTTAGATATGCTGATGTTCTGCTGAAGCATGCAAACAATATAGAAATAAAACAGAGAGAAACAGGTCTTTACATGATATGTTGATAAATTCAACATTTTTTTAATTTATTTTTTCGGTCTTGAAATGCTCCTATCTTTCACAATGAACATTAGTGTCTTTACATACATATTCATGTCAAAAGGAAGTGATGGTAATGACCAACCAGTCCAACCACCACCCATCTGTTAACACCACTCTATCTTCACCTGTTTTTTCTCCTCTTGTCTTTTTCATAAAACCACCAGCAAAAACCACAAACATTACTGATTTATACACACTGAAAAAAGTCGGAAGGGGGGAGGAGAAATGAGGCAAATACATGTCATCACTGTCAATAGGAGAAAAGACACAGTAAAAAGGAAAAACAGAGCAACACCTTGACGAAAAAAGAGGATATAAAAAACCAATGAAATAAACATTACAGTGTTGTTGAGGGTTGGGAAAGCTTTACATTTATACACAAGCACCGAAAGCCAAACATGGTACATAGACTTTTGTTAAAGGAGGATCCAGTGCAGGGAATTCATCGCTGCCCAGAAGCAGAACTACCATGAAAAGGGATGACTTCCCTCTGAAAAATAAATAATCGAGGCACATGGGAAGCTGTTGTTTCCTAATTCATCTTCAAATTGTTGTTTGGAAATTATAAACTTAAACGTGATTTCTCCTCAGCTTTCAATTCACAGCAGCCCTGAGCTCTTCAGTCCTGTTATGAAGTTAAAACCTCTCAGGGCAACAACCAATTTTTGGGGCTTCTAATGTCACCAGTAGATAACAGAGAGCTGAAATCAGATAATGCAACTTTGACTTCCTCACCCTTTAGAGATGGTCATCGTCACAGTCTGAACAGCACATTTAGGCACAAAAGGGATATCTATTTGAGGATCTGGGAAAGGATTGTTTAATTAATCTTCTCATAAGCAGACATCTGTTCATAGAGATTAATTACACACTTTATTGTCAGTGATTGTAAATGGATTCTTCCATTGGGTGTTGGCCTATGAGCTTGTTTTCCTCGAGAACTTCCTTCTCATTTATAACCAAAGCTTGCCTTAAAGGGACTAATCAATATTCCTCGACTACAAGCAGTAATGAAAGCGCTCTCAGCTTAGAGCTTCTCTGATTTTAGTCAAAATTTTGTTTAGAGAAAATATTTTCACAAAAGCTGATTTTTTTTAAAGGCTGGATAATAATCACATCATGGTCACATCATGAAACCTCATTTTATTTCAAAAAAGCTCTTTTTGTTACTTGAAATGCAAACTCAGTGTGCTGTAATGTAATTACATGAATTTGATTACCTGTTTTCGCCCATAGCCTCCCATGCCTACATTACAGATTAAACTCAAGGCTGTGGTATGAATCTAAAGGTCTGTACACATTCTCCGTCTATGTTCCTGTGGGCTTTTCCACAGTGATGGGCATGTGAAGAAAAGGGAAATAAATACATTGGGCCAGTGAATGGTAACAACATCAACAACATGAAGATATGGTTGATAAAGCTCAAAGAAACTAAAGGCTTAAAGCCTGCAGCTGGTGAATCCCACCAAATATTTAAAGGCTGGTTAAAGGTAAAGAAATTCAAACATTTTAATGAGGCCCTCGCCTCAGGAAACAACATGTTCTCCATTCAGTGCTGTTGGCGCTCCAAACTGGACAGCCTTTTTTGTGTAAACAGGCCATTAACAAATGTGTAATGCTACAGCTTAACAATCAGAAGTGAGGCATTTTAATTCAAATGGGTCCTGTAGCAAAAATGTGGCTGTACAGTAATGATTCGAGATAGGATGGTCACTTTCAAAACCCTCTTTTACTGCTATTGGTTTGTCTAATTTTGTTGAATTTGTATTCAAATTTCTTTGTAAAATATATATATATAGTAGATACATATATTCATATATCACAGTAATATACAAAACAAGTGCTTAAAAAATAAAGGTGATGGCGATCTTTCGTGTAATAAAGGAGATGACTTGGAAAGTAAGGGTAGAGGTAGGGTCTGGGAAGAGGTATGGAACTTAATATTTGTAGTGTTGGTGCTTCTTTGGTCTAGGGAATGTCCCCAGTGCATGTTTGCATTTGATTTTAATTAAGGCAGATAGCCATACAAGTGTATGTTTGTCTACAGTCAGATATGTACCAAATTTATAGTACTAATAAAGCTCAAAACTTTTCCTACATTCTTATTTTTAAGTGATCAAAATGTTGATGATAGCTGCTGGATACTGCTGGATACTGATGGATGAAAAAGGTAGAAAAGCAGGCAGTTCCATTCCTCCTCTTATCATATAAACAAAAGTGCTTCTGTAAGTATGGAGAGGATGTAAGAAATCATAAATCTGTACAATATATACAAATATGATACAGCCCTACGAGTTGTCCATTCTTTTTGGTGATATTCAAAAGGGCAGGGGAATAGAAAAGCCCAGCTTCCTGTCCCAGGGGCTTTCGAAGGGTATTCGATTATAGGGCAAAGGCATGACGGCAGGGTAGTTCTTAGACAAGAAATGTCTTATGTCTTAAAAGAGTCACCTAATCTCGCCTCTTATTTCGTCGTCCACTTGTCTCTTTTCTCCCACTCTCTTTTCTGGCCCCCTCCACCGAGGTCTCTCCATCTAGGCTCTCCTGGTTAATGTTCTGTTGTTGCATGAGGGACAAGTAGGGATGTTGGGGCAGGGGGGGCGGCGTCGCAGTGGGAGGTGTTGTCGGGGACTCTTGGCCAGAAGAGTGACCACTGCTGCTCCCAGAGCTCATGGCCCTGTGTTTGAGTCTGAGTTTGTGAGGCAAAGCCGTGCCCTTCACCTCCCCCTGAGGATCTCGGCCCTGAGCCTGAGCGCAGCCCTGGGAGGAGGGCCTAGGTGAGGCAGGTTGAAGGCCGGAGAGACGTTGGTTTTTGTAGCTGCCGGCATCTGAGCAGGACGATGAAGGGAAGTCATCATCATCAGTAGAGGCCTCCTTGTCAGAGCTGCGAGGATCTCCATCACTGGATGAGGTGTCTTTGCTGGAGGTGCCAGCCTGGCCTGGGTAGTACACCTCCTTTCTGGGCCCACCTTCGTAGGTAAGCACAGGTGGCTCCTCATCTTGGGCACTGAGGTATAAATGATGAGGCTGTTGGAGATGGTGGTACAGGTTGGATTGGTTTAACCCCTCTAGTTGTTTGTGGAGGATCCGTGCAGATGTTTCACCCTCTTGCTGGTACTGCTGCTGCTCCTGCTGTGGGTGTTGCTGGGGAAGTTGGCAAAATTTGTGATTCTGTCCATCTCTAGGCTCACCGTGGCTGTCTGAGAGCTCGTACGATGATTGATCTGACTTCCTCTCTAGCTGCTTTTTCACCTCAGTCAGCACCTCAGTAGATCCCTCAGTGATGGGCTGCGGTAGTTGGCTGCTACCGCCGATGTGCTTCTGGGGTGAGTGCAGATTGATGTCCATGGACCTGGGTAGGGTGTCCATCGGATAGGAGGCACTACTGGAACCATACAGAATGACACTTCTCTGGGCAGCAGGCGGGTGAGGAGCAGGCTGGCTGACAGTGTTGATAGTGGTAACAGGCTCCTGATGGGGTTGGTGTTGGTGAAGGTGATGCTGCTGCTGCTGTTGCTGGCCATGATACGCAGCCTCCAACTCCTGAGAGTGCTGCTGGATTTGGTGGTGAGTGGGCACAGAGGCAAGACCACGGTGGATGTTGAACATGATCTGAGTGGTTGTGCCATTGGCAATGTCCATCTCCAGCCTGTCACCCTCCTGTTTGATCTCAAAGGGGATTGGCTCAGGGCTGTCCCTCGAGGATCCATCTGACATGTCAGAGAGGGAGCCACGTGGAGAGTACTTCACCAGCTGCCTGTGGCCTTCACCGTGCCCTGACTGCTCCGTTTCTGATGAATCAGAGTTCATCAACACCTGAGAACTACTAGAGTAACCACTGGAGTAGTACTGGGTAGAAGAAGAGGAGGAGGAGCCTCCATTTCCTGTGTTGTTGCCTCCACTAATCTGTTGGCTCTTTTCGATGTAGGAAGCAGTGCTTATAAGGCCAAAGCGCAGCTTCAGTTGGAGCAGCTCTGTTTTAAGCCTCACATTCTCATCATTCAGTGCAATAACACGATTCTCCAAAACCATGTCATTGAGACGTCTCTTTTCCCTGGAGCGTTTGGCTGCTTCATTGTTTTTGCGCCGTTTCTCCCAATAGGAGGCGTCCTTCTTCTCATCAGAGATAAATTCGCGTTTCCGCCTGCAGGTCATGTTGGGTTTAGGCTTGATGAGGCGGCCGAGGCGAGCTGGACTCCCTGGGACAGAAGAATCTTCGTAACCACTGAAGGTCTCAAGGCAGTTTAGGTTAGTCCCTGAGGTTTTGTTTAATGTCTTTAGAGCTGAAGTCAGATTTTCCATTCTTGTCTTACGGCAGCCAGTTTGAAATGTGTCCTAAACAACTAGGGAAGAATCAGTTCAGAGGACAAGGGAAGGAGCGGGTGGAAACCGCTTTTCAAAGTTTTTCTCCCAAAGCTCTTGGTCTGTTTATTGCAGGTTCAGTGGAGTTCTGACGAAAAGGGACTCAAGTTGCCCAAAGGATAAAGAACAGCTGGTGCTTAGCATTAGCAACACTCATTTATCCACTTTGAGGTTCAGTGTCCAGACTCTTCACATCGGTCTCAAAAAGCACTTTCTCTTTTTGCTTTTCCGTTGTTGTCTGATCCAGGTTTAGCATAAGAACGGCACCACTAAGCCGATCTACAAGTGTCTTTGATCTCCTCTCAACCAGCAGGATGTAGGGCAGCCTGTCTACCTCAGCATGTCAGTCTCTTGGGGAGACTAGTTCCCTCTGTCTGGGTCTCTTCTAGGTGGTTGATTGCGAGATGAAAAGCTGCAGAAACAAAAACAGAGAAAAAGATATTTTTATTAATTCGAACTTTACTTGCTCTATTGTGCATTCAAACATCAGACTTGAAATCAGTTATTGGAAATAAAATGGTGGTTAATCCATAAATGATAATAGACCATGGTCTTATAGCAGTTTCTCGCCTTCACACACCATGATAACCAAGACTGCTATGTATAAAGCCTATAAGTTTTTGACTACTTCCATTCACACAGTGGGGTCAAGTGTCTTGCCCAAGGACACTTTGGCATGTGAAAAGCCTTGGGATTGAACTCTACAGCTTAGCCACAGCCGGCCTGTAGTATGCATAACGTCCAGGAACACACCCAGACATCCTCTCTTTGCTGGTAATGCATGTCTGCCCGTCTGGCTTTAACTGACAGCATCTCCCCTGGCAACTTGTAAATGGTTACTTGACCTTGCTGTCTGACCTTTTAGCTTTGCTATTGAATGCTCTGTCTGCAGCCTATGACCCCTGACCCTTAGCCCGATATGCTGATGTTGACTTTTGTGATGTAATGAGGGCACTGAGTTCATTGCAAGGCTGACAATTGTGTCTGATTTTGTCACTCAGTTGTTGCTGCCTTTTTTCATGATTGAAATGTAGAAATATCTCTGTTCACATTATTGAAAGAAAGCTGGAAATCGATGAGGACATCTCTCACGTCTCTAGAATCTGCCAACACATGTGAAATTAATACGCAAACAGCACAGAAACCGCATCAGTCGAACACGTGCCGAGAGCAAAAATAGCTTTAGTGTTTAGAGAAGCTCTTTCTTCTTCGCCTGATGAATATTTGGGCCAGACAGAGCGAAGAATGAGTCAGAGGCAGAGTCCGTGGTGTTCCCTGGATCCATTTTAGAATATTTAATTTTAAAAACTTCCCCATGAAAAGGCAGCCCACCGCTCTAAGAGACATCATCCACAAACACTGCCCGAACAAAGCCTATCCCCCTCCATGTGTTCATCCGCTGAGGAATGTGGCCGCAGTCCTTGCCAAAACAACTCAGCGCAAAATCAATGATGCATAGTGAGAAGATAAGGCAGACAAAGGCTGCAGCCAGTGCAGGTCAAGGATAAAGAGGCTGAGACTGGGAGATTTGGAGGAGTGGGGGCAGCCAGGAGGTGGGGCATCAATAAATATAGGTCAGGGGCTCATGGGAAGAAAGAGGTGGGAGGCAGGGCACGGGTAGAAATAACAGGGCCTGTAAACATTTGGCTGAAACATCAGGGCGAATGGAAAGTCTCATAACTCGGCAGATAGGTGTGTCAGTATTTGAACGCAGCGAAGGAATCAGTTGTAATGAGCTGAAGAGGTGTGTTACAAGACAAAACAAATATGACAGAAATTATTAGGGCATGACTATGAGAAGAAAAGCACCCTCTGAAGATATGTTTACAACACTGTATTCACACCGCACATCAGCAGGAAAACATCCCATAAACACTTCCTAGAAAAATAAGGTCACACGTGAAATCTTCACATGACTCTTTTTAAAAATGTTCAACAGCAAACAAAGGGCTCTTTCTCTCTTCTAACGTCCACAAGCCTTCAGTTCTGCAATTGACTTAAGCTTAAATATATCAAAAAGTGAGATATTCGTGCCCTAAAGAGTTATATTTATCTTCACCCACAGCTGGAAACAAGTGTTACCCAACATCTGCACTCATCGGTTTAGCTGTAAAGACATGAGCACACTGTCTGAATCTTTAATCTCATAATCTGGTGAGGTGTTTGTGCTAGTTTTATCGTCTCTTCCCTTGGTTCTGACTCCATTACGTAACGACAAGCATACCCTTACCTGAATATGAATTCTAGACTAGATACAACAATGAAAACCTAAGGACAGTGAAGAAACCTAGAGAAGTTAAAATCCGTAAAACTACATTTCAGTTTTTTTTGCAAATGTCTGGATTTTTCTTTTCTCTGCTTATTTCTGAACATCCACGTGACTATCTAACATGTGGCTGGTTGGCACGAGAGAGAAAGGACAAGCCCAGAGACTTTTTCTCAGCATGTCCCACTGACCCAGAAACTGGGGACCGTGCTCTGTAAACACAAGCCTCACTGTACGGCTCGCTGCAAATATAGGTCAGCTGAGCTGTAGAGAGGTGAAGCCTCGGATCAGAAAAACAGACAAAGAGAAGCGAGAAATGAACGAGGAGGAAGAGAATTACAACACTGTGTAAATATGGACAGAGGTGAAAGCACGTGGAGGGGGCATGAAATTAATGGGGATCAATGGGGGAGAGTTAAAACAAAGAGAGAAACAGTGATGAGATTTCTCTGTAGCTAGGGGGGCGGATGGGCAGAAGCAGTTGCGACAATGTTGGTGTTGCATCAATAGAAGGAATGTGTCACCCATAGCAACAAAAAGGGGGGGAAGAGAAGGGTGCAGCCAATCATATAGGAGTTTCCTCCCCTTTCTTTGAACCACCGATCTGACATGACCAAAAGCATGAGGTTAAATTCACTGTCTGTAACAAAAGAGCTGCTACTGACATCACCCAGTGCGTATGTAACATATTGAAAACTCCATACATTATATTCAATGTACTTTTTCAGTCTCTCCTGAATATTCAACCATGATTTGAATACGCCTGATTCATTCAAAGGTGTTGTGACTCTCATTCACAGCTTATTTTGTAATCCATTTCATTCACCGTCTCTTGTCATCCAAAACATAACAGATTAATTTTCTTCCGGCGCTCCTTATAACCACAACAGAAAAATAAAAATGAAATAGTCTTTGCTGCATACACAGGAGCCATTCCATTTGCAAACATTTTCCAGCACAATATGCAAATAAATCCAACTGACAGTGCACCACAACCCCACTCCTCTGCACACATTCCCCTGACCTGAATTACGCTTTACAATTTATCATTTGGTCTTCACGTGTCATCACTGGGTCTCTGTGGCACTTGTGGAATGATAGCACAGGAACAGAATCCAAGTTGCACTCAATCACACAACCACAGGGCCCCGCAAGAGGCTAAATGTGGCAACGAGCTTTGGAAACAACTGAGAGTTCAAACCCCTGTGCACGTGTTCCTGCAGAGCATTTCAGGAAATTGGAGCAGGTTTAAAATAAAAGGGGCAAGAGGAGGAGGGGAAGGGAGGGGAAGGGAGGAGGGGGTGCATTACCAAAAAGAAGAGTGAATGACGAAAGTATTGCCCCCCCGACTCCCTCACCACCCTGGGAAGAATGTAATGTATGGCACGTGTTAGAAAGTCAGAGGGGTCATGGGTGGGGTCTGCTTGAAGTCCAAGTCTGGGGGCAGACTTTGAATCTTCCAAGCATAAGAAGGAAAGAGAAAAGAGGGGGTTGGTTAAGAATAGGCAGCGTGCCAGAAAGGCAGAGTCCGATCCGAGCTGGATGCTTGTTCCAAGAACTAACAGGGCCATATAACCCCTCTCTGGAAAAGGAAAAAAAAAAAAAAAAAGGCAGAGTGACTCAGTCCATGTGTTGCACCAGTCACATGCACTCCTGTGGCCTACTAAATGCTGTAATTCGCCTCTGTGCTGGCTCCAAACCACAGCACAATAACAAAGCACAGCCCTCATCTTTTATCATCTTACATGTGCCAGGAAACCCGGAGAAAGTCAAGAGGCCATAAAGTGGGACAGGATGTAAACTGCGCCCCTCACTCCCCTCCCACAGTTTTATTTAGGAAAGCTGTCTTAAACCTCAAGAACATGTTGTCTCTGCAGTGCACCTCTGTGATGTAATAGGGTTAAAAATACTTTAAAAGGGTCTTCTCCATAGGCTATCTTAAACAAAAGATATGAGTTTAAAGAAGTGAGAGGCTTGTGTGCCAGTCCTCTGTCTCTATTTCCGCATGGCTGTCGTGTCTTTGTTATGGCGGGGGAGGGAATTTATTTTAGTAAGGTTTTGGTTTCTGCATTTCTTATCTCCTTTTTTTTTTATAACACTTGTTGTGAGTTGGCGCTACATAAATAAAGATTGACTGATTGATGGATAGTCAGTGGCGGTTGAGCGTCACTCCCCTCCCCACAGGGCCCAATGTGACCTACATTCACGGCTGGCATAGAGACCCACTGTTTGCCAACCAATTGGCAGCGGCCGCTCCGCAGCAGCAGCACAGTGCAGCCCTGCATAGCCACAGTCTACGGGCTTTCTGGCGGTTGCGTAATCTGCCCCTTCTTTAATCCACTTTAATTATTTAATTCATATATATTATGCAACCTGCGTTACGCCCGCAATGCCTCCTATATGATGTACTTAAACAAATATGGCACACGCAAATTTTTGTAGAAATGCTTCCAGTCATACATCATCCAATTGAGGACGCACACGCTGTTTTGGACACCTTGAAATATCACTTACATCTAAGGAATCACCATGCAGATCACAGTTAGATTTCTTTTATAATATTATAAACTTTTCTCGCTTGTGATGCGTTAAAGCAGAGGAAATGACCATGATGACTACGGCACGTGCAGTGTACAAAACCACAAAGCCGGTGTGGAAAAATGAGGCCAAGATGGAGTTCCTTTCTCCAAAAAAGTGTGTCATATAGGCGACACGTTTACAAAAAAAATGTTTCCAATTAGTTTTAAATTTCTCTACATTTTCTGTCCCAGCTGAGCTCGTGTTGGACTACATCCTGACAGAGTTGGACACGGCAGCACAAAGTCTCAGTAAATGCTGAAATATGATTTTAATTTTGAGTCCATGTCTGCGCGCAAAGCAAGTTACCCCCTCACATAGCAGCACAATGTGAGAAATATGTTACCCCGCATGCCTCCTTTGTTGCACTGTCTGACAAATCGCCCTCATGCATGTTTAATCCGATCATCAGTCAACAGAGGAGGTGCGTGAACCCAACTTTGCCCTAAAAAATCACTAAAAATACGCACATCTTAACAAATAAACCACACACCTCCAACAACCGCACTCTCGAGAATGATAACGCACACATTTTCTGTTCACAAAACTGCTCAGAAATACGGACACACGCATGACCCACATTTGATCCAGATGTTCCGATCAGCTCACCTGGCAGCGCGTGCACTCAGCAGAGCCCGTGAACTTTACCATTCTTCATCCTTCCCGGTTCTACCGTAAAAAAAAAGACCTGTCCGGCATGTAAAGAAAAGCCAAAGAAGTAAACGCGTAATGTCCACATGTATCCAGGGGACGGATGATCATGTCTGTCGCTGTGCTCTGGATTGTGTTGTGCTCCTTCAGACGAATCGGCGACTAAAGGGTTAACCCAGAGGGCTGCACAGCCGCTTTAACCTTTACAAAGAGCTGCTACACGTGACGGAGAGAAGTGTGTCCTCGGAGCCTGCATGGGATTTTTCCAGTTGTCTGACTAGCCTACTAACCCAAAACAGGGCGAGTACTAAAGGAAGCATCTGCAACAAAAAGGCACTTCACGACTACATAATAATAACAATAATAATAATAATAACAATAATAATAACAATAATAATAATAATAATAATAATAACAACAACAACAATAATAATAATAATAATTAAGTAGTCAACCTGGAATAAACACAGTATGCAGACCCCTGAACATACAAGCCTACTAAAAATGATAATGTATGGCTGTGTGTTACGCGTCACAACAAAACAGCAAGTTGGGACCCTGCCTCAAAACGACAACGGCACTCCCCCCATGTAGTATACCACCATACCACTCCCGTGTCCATCACCACATCGCAACTTCTTTGGCAACCAACTTCCCTCCCTCCCCTCACACACTCCCCCCTTTTGACACACAGGCCCATATTTCTCCAAACTGGGGTACATCTTGCATTGACAGTGCGTAAAATGCAAGCAAGCACCAAAACAAACACTCGTGGAGTTACAATATATATATATTTATGTATGCAAAAATGCTCAAGAGCAAAACAATCAAATGAGCAGTCATGTCTAAAATGAAAATGTCAATATGCAGTTATAAATGGTGAAACAAAATTACCTTTTTTGTCAGAAAATATCCTGTACAAAAGCACCCACTTGGAGCATCAGCTGGCGCTCTCATCCACATCCACATAACACCAGTACACCGTCCGTCACTTTCCAAACACCAGCTCTCTCATTAGTGCAGGTATATGCGAGTGCGAACACAGTGGGACTTGTTTTCAATGCGTTACACATGTCATGTTTGCCTCGATCCCCCCCCTCCTCTCTCTCTATTTCCTCTTTCTCTCTCTCTCTCACTCTCAGTGCTTCTCTCTGAGTCTCTAAATGTATGTTAGTAGGTCAGTTGTTGCATAACAGGACGCTTAGGGTGCCTAGTCACGTTTTTTGTTTCTCTCTGGGCTCTGCCCCCTCCCTCTCTCCTCGCCTTCAAATCCTGTTGAAGGAGCGGATACGCAGGGGGGGAGCAGAGGGGAGGAGCCAAGCCTGAAGGGGAAGGGCAAGGCTCAAAGCCAGAGTCAGCCAGATGAAGGCCTGTGATAGCTGTAATAAGGTTACTAGATATTACAAAGACACCAACAATGGAAATTCTCATAGAAACAAGACGTGAGCTCAGAAATGATAAAAGATCCTGGTTTACAGACGCGCTGTTGCTCTGGGGAAGGGGGTTTCTCTTTGTTTGAGCAGGAACGAGACTCTTATAAACAGACCCACAGATCTTTGAGTGACTATTGCACTTTGTATTTAGATAATAGAGAGACTATTTGCTTTATTCAGATTGATGTGTACAGAATCAACCTTAACCCTTGAACACTATCGCTAAAATTAGTAACACCATCACTATCGCCACGTGATTTTTAACTGAAATAATATACCCAAGAAAAAGTACCTGTCATCAAAATATATCAAAATAGAACAGTACATGACAAATTAAAGTAGTTTGTGTTTCATTTTTAACTGTGAAATGTCCAAAGGGAGCATAATAAACCCATGAGGGGACCATAAAAAATGCAAAAAAATAACTGGAATTATGATAATAATAATAGATTTTATTTGTAACGCACTTTACATTTGCAAATTAGGCAATCATGAACAAAAAACTTCTAAATATATATAAATATATATATGTATAAACTGTAAACTTAGTTTCTTTTCCATCAATTCCTGGGGCATGTGAGTCTTCCCTGGTGAAGACTCAGGGTCTTTGGTACAATAACAGCTGCAGGAGAGAGAACCAAAATATGGCATGTTTTGAGTGAGTAAAAGTGACCAGCTGACTAAAATATTTCTCATCACCATATGAATTCCCTTGAAAATTACTACTTTGTGATAGTTATTCATAACCACTGTGCTAAATAAAGACAGGACCGCTCTTACTGACCTTATTCCCTACATACAGCTATCAAATCCACCCAAACCTACTTTTACCTGCCACCACTATTGCCGGGTGAAAATCACCCGAACACGTGCCTGTAGAAAAAAGCAGGTTTTGGATCAGGGAAACAAATATGCCTTCAAAGATGTCAAAGGCAATGCTGAAGCTACCCAGGGACCCATGATACTGAGACAAACACAACATAATGAAAATCACATAAACATGTTTGGTTTTGTTCCTGGCGATAGTGTTCTCGGGTTAAACCTAATGGCACACAGACAGAGAATAATTGTCTACTAAGGGAGAAAGTTTTTTTTTTACCCATCGGTCATTTCTCATGTTAATTTAGCTTATGTAAAATTCAGTAGTGTCTTAGAAAACCCAAGTTTTTCCTAAGATCTCAGTAACTCACAGACCTGCCTTAATAGGTCAACCCTGCTTAACAGTGTTTTTGTATTTTTATCTTTTTCACAGTGAGCTGTCTAGTGCAAAAAAAAAAAAAACAACACAGTTCCAAATTGCCTGTGGGACTTACATTAGCTCTTGACCTCTTGCACCAGGAGCTAAATGACAGCTGCACAGAGGCCTCACATGAGCAATTTTAAGTGTTGTCTGGTTGCCATAAAGTAAACCGCAACTTGAAGAAGTGGAAACATGTTTGTTGGACTTTAGTCTATTGCAGTCTGATGAAAAAAATCAGTAAACTATATATGCTTATGAAAAGACTACCTGTTGGAGTCCATAGTCAATACTAAGAAGTTATGCAAATACATGATCATCTCTTGCACTGTTTATTAATGGTGCAGTTTGTGGAATATGGTGGTATTTAGCAAAACAGACTTGATAAAAATGGAGCATTATATTCTTAAGCATATTTAAATAAGGAGGTCATTACCTGGATAAAAAAAGTTTTCTTTTGTTCACCTAGAATAAGCATTTTGAATTGATTCAATTCTGATTCATAAGGTCACTATCGGATTGAACAGCAACTCATTTAGAGATTTCAATTCAGTCAAGAAACAAAAGTAGGCTATTTTTTTCTGTCAATCTCATGCTTCCATGAATGTGAGACCTAGTGGCAACCTCAGGTCTTAAGAAATGAAGCTGATGCATAAGTGCCCAAAACTGCAGTTCCCAGAGTGCCCACTTGTGGCAGGAAGCAGAGGTAGACGCACCAAAAACCACAAACACACACATTCAAAATCAGCTCTCTGAGTAAAATTAAACAACTTAAAAGCCTGATACAAATATACATATAGTTGACACTTGGGAAGCAAAAGGATACCATTGTTGGTCCTGTGTAAAGTAACCCAACAAAGGCCGTGTAATAGCAGAGATGTCCCAAAGTGAGCTGCTGACAGATAAGATTTTAGCTCAGTTGGCCTGATACAAATCCTGTTGAACACCCATGGGAAGAGAAAGGACACTGACTGTAGAGTTAGCATTTTTCTGAACATCCAAAACAGTTATTATAAGCCGATCAGAATAATCCTAGGCTGTTCACATCCTTGTGTGTCCTTAGAGTGGTCGGAAAGTCGGGAGAAAGAGCTACAACACAGTCTGTTTACCATTCAAGAACATGACTCAGACATAAGCTTGAGACAACCTTGGTTTCATTAACAGCAGACCGATACTCATCTTCTGTGGGAAAATGTTCAGCACAACATGTACTGAATAGTTCAGTTAATAGATAAAAACACTTTTTTTCTCCCATGCAAATGCAGTAGAGTACAAATAAGCATCAACTGACATATTGGAGCGAGGTACACTGCACTTTGGTATACTCATACTTTTGTCCCAGTGACTTCTACAGAATACTGTTGATTCATGTCCTACATTCAACTCTTGAAAACAGACACAAAATTAATGCCGTCATGACTTGTGATTCAAAAAGTTGCTGGTGTTGACTCATCAGACTGATCTATTGAATTTGAGTCATTTAACAGGAACTTCCGTCGCGTGTCTTTGTCTTTGAACAGAAGTGGGACTTTTTGCTTCAAAAGTTGCAAAGGCTCGCCTGGTACTCACACATTATGTTTCGGTTTTGTCGCAATAAATAGACACGCTGCTCTCTCATGACTGCGAATTACATAGCATGATTTGTGATACATCTTGATCACGAGCAGAAATGTGAGTCATGTTTGCAGCCATGGAGCATTGTGGCTTTCCCACGTAGCGGGGCAGTTGACCTTTTTTTGGGTCAGCCTTTCTCCTCTAAATCAAACGCTATTTATGGTGTGACCAGACGCAAAGGCTTGAGCTGTTGAATGTGTTTTTTTATCACGGTTTGAATGTTAGGAACAGCTCTTATTAAACTGTTGGATAAAAGAATTAGATTAAAATGAATCGCTCAGAGGAATTTTCTCTAATCACTACAGCAACTGTTCAGTTTGGGCTGTCATTGAAGCAACAGCACGTGCCAGATTGCATCTTCCTCAATGATGCTCGAGGCACAAAGTCTGCTCAGTGTCTTAGTGAGCGTGCGGTACAGAGCGTTATCCACACTGTGATTTTTACTGGAAAAAAAAAAAGTGCCCCTAAGGCTGACGTCTGAGGATGAGTTCATTATCTCCTTTTAATGTTCAAGGCTGCTCTGTTTTTGTATGGGGCTAAAAAAAAAAAGGGTGTGCGTAAGCCTGAATGTGTGATCAGAAAACTCGTGCGCTTTTCATGAAGGATGTTTCAAGGTGTGACGTAAAACAGAAACACTCAGTTATGTTCAAAGGTGCACTTTTTTTGTTTAAGTGTTCTCCTCTTCTTTTTTAAGATATGCTGAAGACTCTAATACGACTTTCTTCTTTGGATCTGATTTGTCTCAGTGTTGCTAGGCGGCCGTTGAATTTCTTGTTTAGTAATTTCTGCTACAGCCATTTCTTTTTAAAGGATGTTTTAAACCCCTCGTTTGTTATCCGCCTCACACCCACATCACGTCCTTGGACATTACATCATCAGAGGGCAACCCTGCATGCGGTGCCTCCAATTTGAACTCAGTATGGATCCCCATTCCTTCGCACCTCTTTGTTTCCTCCTGTAGCTGGAGGAGACAAACATCATGGAGCAGAGGCATTGGCCATGAACTTGGATCCCCCTCCCCCCATACAACACACACACAGACACACATACCCTCGCTCTGCATCATCCCCTCTCTTTTTTTGTACCCCTTCCTCATCCCTACCCCACCCAACATTTTTCCCCCCTTCTAGCTATGTCTGCAAGCGTTCCCATGGCAACTGTCGCACTGCCTGCCTAGCAACAGGCTTTATCCTTTCCCTGGAAAAAATGGGTTAACAGATTTGGGGGAGGGGGGATGGGGTTGTACTTGCAGAGGGTTGCTTTTTTTTATGGACGAGGGTGAGAGTGGTAGCATAAAAGCAGTATCTTCCGGTGGATTCACTGAATCTGATTCTCTTCTTCTACACACATCTCACAGAAAGCATCAGCCTCCCCTGTACCTTTTATTTTCCTCCAGGCACTTCTAGTTTACTTAGTGTAAAAAGCAGTACAAATGGTTCTTTTATCTGCTTTTAGAGGAATCTATCCGAAACACATGTTCAGATTTAGCTCTGAGTGGGTCAAAAATAGACCCTTGTTTTTCAGCTTCTAGTAGCCGTCTTGTAATATTAAAACAAGAATCAGGATAATGTCTGCAAAACAAGAAAGATGAAACATGCAAATTTTTTAAAAAATCATTCACGATATCTTTGAGCAAGAAAAGTCTTAAATAAAGACATCCCTCTTGCATCAGTCTCTGCAGGTGTCTACCAGCACAAAGAAATCACGTGTACAGCTGCTGATTTTTTTTATGTTCATCATGATTCCAACTAACTTTATAATCTGCTGGAACAATAAAAATAGCTGTGATGCACTGGATGATTCATATTTTCTGGTACTTGGTGAAACACAAACGCTCGCTGAAGCGCTCCACTCATACCAAAGTTGTTGTCTTTGCTGCCCCCTGCTGCATTTCAGTCTAAGTGGTCATTTTAACTCAATTCTTTATTTGCCAAGTTGATACAAGTCTTTATTGACTTTGCGCTTGTAATGGCAGCAGCAACATCACAGAAGAGACTAAACAAGTGTTATCTTGGCTGGATCTGACGGCTAACTACTCCTCTGTCATGAATTTCCCTTCTCCTGTTGTGTTTACAAGTCCTACTTTCTGAAAGTGTCTGACTAAACGGTAGAGGGATAGCCAACACACCCATCACCTCTGACTCTGTCTGCCAGACTGTCTCGCTGCCTGCAGGGACTGTGGGAAACAAACCTGTTGAGTGTTGAACTCCTCTCCTATCCTGCGTTTGTCAGCACTTGTCCGCCCAGCCTTATCCTTCATTTGTGCTCTTATTACCTGGTATTAGGGAATGTCGTTAAAGTTCAAGGAAGTAAACTTGAGGTCATATTATACCTGCTTTAAGTGTGTTTTAATAATATCTTCAATCTCATTATACAACATGTCATTTTTGTGTTATTTACTTCTTAACCTTAAAAATCTTTGGGAAAGGCAAAGAGAAGTGCACGTCAAACTCCAATGAACTACATTTCCAATAATGCATAACAGCAACCTTAATGATGACTATATTTAAACTAGGGTCCATACAGCATAGTAAAGCGATATTTTGTCTGGTGATATATTGTATCGTCTCAGTATCGATTTTTCAAATAAATTGTTAATATGAAGTCAGATCTATGGTAATGGAAAAATGAAAGTAACTGTTTGTCCAGTGGGGTTGGCAAAAGTGACATTATGGAGCAGGAGAAAGTTAGTACAACAATTATATATTTATAAGGTTTGTAAGATGTGCTACATGAAAATAAAATACTGCGTAAATAATGCAAACATAAAGGCTAAATCAGCAAAACAGTTGAAAAAAATTGTATAAATCACAAGATATTGTATCGCCATACTTGCTGTAGTGCAAAATATCAAAAATCATGAAAATATTGTATTGTGGGGACACTGGTGATTTCCACCCCTAATTTAAACTCAGCTGTATTTGAAATGAACTCTAAACTCGATACTGACGTCACCCTGGTGGGATCATAGCTCTCAAAACGCTCACAAAACTACAGAGAAAAGTCACAACTCAAGACCACAATGTCAAGTTATTATTTTATTTTCAAAATACACAGAGAAAAAGTAGACTTATAATCCTTAATATCACCAAAAAATAAGAACATGGCAGTTATAAAATATATGCAAACCAGGCATAGACAGAAACCGAAGTGAAATGTGAAAGACATCACACAGGACATGTAACAGTGAGGAGGTCCTTGACACGACACAAAACAAGTACTGATAAAGGAGCAGAAGTTGTGTTTCGACAGTGAAAAACAGACTTTTAGTGTAGAATAAGATTTGATAGATAGTTGTTTGGTCATGGTCTGTATTAACCGTCTGTACCTGTCATGTTTTAGCGATGCAAAACAAATATTTCACTTCCTCCGTGTTTGTTTACAACCTGGAGGCCTCAGAACCACCTGAACCTGTTTTGTCGATGTGAAGTGAGTGAGTGAGTGAGTGAGTGAGAGAGTGCTGGGTCCTGTATTTTAATGGTGTCATGTAAACAGTTCTTTATTGTTGGGTTTTTAGTTATCACAGTGTATGGAACAGAGACACTAATGACGTCTTTACACTATCACAGATAAGACCTTCCGTCTGAGCAACACTGACTGGTGCTGAGATTTAGTAGTTTTAAAACAGCAGGTTATGAGATGCATGTAACGATACAGTATTTGAACCAAAATCAGCATGTTACGAAAGTTTGTTGAACTTGACAGTTGAGTTTTTATCTCTCTCGCCTTTCTTGTGCTCACTGAGTTTAAAAAAAGAAAGTCCTGACGTCGACAGACTCTGACTCACAGCCTCAGTCCTCAGTTGACTTTGGCCATGAGCTGCTCTGTGAAAAGCTTCTTCAGCTGAGCCACCTCCTCGCTCAGAGAGTTAAGCTGGGACTTCAGGTGAGTGTTCTCGCTCTTGTACTGGACCTCTGTCTGTCCTTGTGCAGCAGGAGAAATCTGGAGGTTGTACCCGGAAGCGGAGGTGTTGTATGGAGGAGATAGCCTCCCCCTCCTGCCGTCTTCCCCCTCCAGCTGCTGAAGCCAGCTGCTGCAGTGCCCCGCTCCCATATCACCCCCACTGAGTCCTTTATTGACCTCTCTCTGACCTTCCCGTCCTCCTGTGGACAGTGTTGGGCTACGCCTGGCGCTGTTATTGTCTGCTGTAGCATCAAATGCCTCCCCGCTGCCGGGAATCTTGAAGCGTAACTTGTGAGGGAGGTTTTTCATGGATTCAGCCTGGTCCAACCTCCCCCCGCTGAGCCCTGCAGTGTGATGGACATCAACAGGAGAGTGATGGAGGTCATAGCCCACCTCATCTGCTCTGTGTGGTGATAATTTCCCGTGGTCACTCAGCCGGTCTTCGAAGAAGATCGGGCTACCCACACTGGACCCACCTGGTGTAGAAAACCCAGAGTCCTCTGACATGTTCCCAGCGTCCCTGGATACCCTGCTGTTCATCTGGCTTGCCTGGGAGGTAGGGTGTGAGGCGGAGGGGTTGGGGAGGCCTCCCTCTCCTCTCTGGAGGTAATAATGAGGAGTCACAGTTTGAGCGTTGGGATTGGGAGTTGTAGCAAGAGGCAGAATAGGGGGGCTGGACGGATCTTTGACCAAGCCAAAGCGGAACTTCAGAGCCAGCAGCTCAGCCCTGAGACGAGCATTTTCCTCCAGCAGAGCCAGAACACGAGTCTCCAGAACCATATCATTCACACGCCTCTTCTCCCTTGAGCGCTTAGCTGCCTCGTTGTTCTTCTTCCTCTTGTCCCAGTAGCCCTCATCCTTTTTGTCAAGGGGGATGAACTCGCGCTTGCGACGCGTACTGGAGGATGGGCTCTCTTTTCGTTTGACGGCGGAGCTGCGACCCAGTAGGGAGCGAGCCAGGAGGCTGCTGGAGGTCAGGATGGACACGGCTTCGTCTGTGAAGGACATGGGTCCTGACCCTCCTCCCCCGCTTGAGGTCACTGGTGCTGGTGAATCCAGAGTCTGGAGCACTGCCATATCCTGCTGGCCCCTCATCTGGGACTCCTCCTCAAACATTTGGCCTGTCAGTGGGTGACTGTTACTCTTCACTCAGTATAGAGAACTCCTACTCTCTCAGGATGCAAACAACAATGCCACCTAGTGGACGAAAGCAGCAAGAAGAAACAAGGAGAAGGATTTAGTGGTTACGCAAGCGACATTACAACACAATATTATGTAACCCTATTACATCTCTCCAATAAAACGGGAGCAATTTGTACCATAACCTTGTATGCGTCATTATACGTTCAATATGGGGCAATGTGTGATTCAGACACAAAAGCCAATCAGAGAGCAGATTTCTGACGGAACTATATGATCAGCGCAGCGATTTTGAAAAGAAGCTTAGACAAATCCAGACTATATGTAACACCAACCTGTTTTTATCACAACCTAGATTTTTATTAGACACCTATAGAAAAATAATCATGATGCAATTTTTCATTTAACATCTTTATCATGAACACAGAAGCCCCTGCTTGCTCATCAGCTCTGACCCACAGGGACATGCTGATCTCCGGTCAGTTACATGAGCTGACCTGACTGCTCTACTTCTGTCACCGGCATACGCATGACAGTTCAATTTCACTCAACAGGGATTTAACACATTATCTTTAATTTGAAATGATGCCTTAATCTGATTATGCTAGTTAGTCTTATTTTCAGCGGAGTGAAATGAGGACTTTCTGTGCGCAAGGGAAAATGCATTTAACGAAACAATAAAAAGGGGCGAGTACAGTCGGCTAATAATAGCGTGGCGTAACCTACATTTCAACACGATGCAACAACGTTCAACATAGTATCTTTAAATACCGACATAATGTACGCATTTAAAGCCCATACTATATGAATTGTGTTGTGTTTACGGTCACTATTTTGGATCCAAAGCGCAAGAATGAATAGTGATTTGGAGCATGCTTTATCCTAACGCAGCGTCTTTCCTTTACGCAGAATGAAACCCAATAAGCAAATAAAGCTCACAGTATATATACTGTATACGCATTTAAAGCCCATACTATATGAATTGTGTTGCGTTTATGGTCACTATTTTGGATTCAAAGCGCGAAAATGAGAATTGATTTGGGAGCATGCCTTATCCCAACGCAGCGTCTTTCCTGTTCCTGTAGCTTTACGCATAATGAAACCCAATAAGCAGATAATATCATGAATAAACTTTTAAAGAAATAAAGGAAAAGTGTTTTAAATAGAGTAAAAGACAAAACTTTACCGGTAGATTGTGAGTTTCTCTCCGCTGGTTTACTCCTGAAGTGTACGTCCGGTTGTTGTGTCTGTCTGTTCACTCTGCAGATCCACTCCTTCGCTATTACTCAATATTATCATGTGTGGCGCATATCCACTCTGCTCCACTTGGAATCGCGCAGCTCCTATTTGTAACGTTGAGTTCAGCTCGGGACGGTCCCTATCCTCACATGAACCAGCGAGGCCCTTTTTGTGTGTGTGTGAGTGTGTGTGTGTGTGATTTTGAGACCGCCCCCCTCTCTCTCTCTGCCGTCCAAAGGAAAGCTCCTATCGGCATTCACACAACATAGCAGTTCGGGCATCATCATCATCATCATCGCCATCATAACCATCGTCACCATCTGACCTCGTTCGCCCCGCCCCCCTGTGACGAGCTCATCTGTTCATAACAAATAAGTAGCTGAATGTTTTGCCTCAAACTGATCCTGCAGCAGAAGAAAATAACAGTAAACAAACCAAAGCACGGTGAGGTAACACTTTACAATAACCATAATCTATAAATGGTAAATAGATAGTTTAATCATCATTTTAAAACAGCATAAAGACCAATTATAAATGGCAAATAGATAGTTTACTAATGTAAGTTAATAGTTTACCATTCACAAGCAATGAAACTATGATTAATAGTTTTCATTAATTAATAATAGACTATTAAAGGTTTATGTGGGGTTTAAATATTAGTTGTAAAACATCTAGATTAAAATGTGTGTCAGTAGCACTTTGTAAATGGTTAATATTTGTTTTTTACACCATCTATAAACATTACTGAGATGGTTCTTGTAAAGTCACAACTGATGTTTGTCATACTTTGTAAATGATTAATAAGTGGTATATAAACCACCTATAAACATTACTTCGATGGTTATTGTAAAGTTAGGGTAAGGGTGAGGCTTTTATGAGTTATTGTTATTGTAAAGTGTTACCCATGGTGATCTACAATAATATATCTAGACAGAGAGAATTGGCTTGATCATTCAAACGTGATGCACTTTCCATATAGAGTTGTGTATAGATTAAAATAACCTTCAAGTAACACAAACATATTGGGTTAACTTGTTGCACAATATTCTTAGAGGTGACAGGGTTCACATACGTCGCTCAGGGTGCAGTAGGTGCATGAGGGGGGCCGGAGGTGTTAGGAATTTTCTGCCCTGAGATCCTCGTTTCAGTAGTTATGACACAAGAGGTTGAAGGAGTTTCCCATTTCAACACAGTGCCCTTTTTTCTATCTTCAGATTCCTGTAACTGTTTTTTTTCTTCTTTGTAAAGTTCACTGTGAAATCGACAACTTTACTGTAAATTACAGGATCTGCTAAGCTGTGTTGTAATGCAGTCTGACTGCCTTTGAGTTTGAAAGATAAGAGCATACTTTGTGTGTGCGTGTTTGCTGAAAGGCGGCAGGAACCTAAACTCATATGATGGGCAGCATGCAACACGTGTCTTTGTGTGTTGAGAGTCGAAGAACCAAGAGAGCTTTGACCAAAAACCCCAGCTGACCCCTGTTTTTTACAGTGCACTCTTATTTGCACTGTGCTTTTGTACACACGGGAGACAATGAACTCTATGTACTATATCATATCACATATGCAAACCCGTTGAGCAAACGAAAGATACACTCCAGGCCCCTTGCCCCGCTCTGTTTGACTACAGTGAGGGGCAAAGGGGCCGGTTCATTTACAGTACAGTATCGAACCCTGGCTTCACTTTGTTAATGTCAATTTCACATGGATGTTGCATCATAGAAAACAAGCTTTCTGGCTTTAGTCCTGCTGTAAAAACAGCACTATAGAGCTTTTGTTGAATACTCATGTCATGCTTTAGTGAACGCTAATCGTTATAAGAAGTAAATAAAGGAGAACTGATAAGCCTCTAGGTACATAGATTTAAAAAAAGGCTAGATTGAAGGATCAATTACATTGTCAATACCATAGAGAGTAAAGAGTCAGGTTTGTTATGCCCTACGGCAACAAAATCGACCTTTCAGCACCTTTGATGTATTAAATGTAATATGTTAACCTAATTCAGGTCGTTTAAATGCATTTGTTATAAAAACACATGATATATTTTGATATATTTTGATATATTTCTGTGTCTATGCATAAAGAATAGATTTTTCCAGCACAGTCCGTGTCTGGTTTAAATGCCATGTGCCTCATGTTTGATGGCTAACCCCAGTCTGCGCATGATAGTGGCTTAGTAACTCCAGTGAGTGCAGGGGAGGACAGAGATTAGCAGAGGACAGAGGCTACATCAGGTTTTCCTTTTACTGCATTCACTGTACATCCTCTGCACCAACAACACCACTATACACAAAAGCTGCTTACCTGTCCTGCTGAAGCCCTCATACATTTAATTATTAACCTGTTAATAAACAAACCTCTAATCACTCAGTGTCCGGGCTTTAAGTCTTTTAAAGCTCCTGTGTGGAATTTTTTGACATTTATGAAACGGACTGAAATTCATACTGATGTTTTTCTATAATAAACAAAAGCAAATATGAGCTTCAGGGAAGGGATGATGACTTTTTTGTGATTTTTGATGGCTGAAATTGGTGCGAGGGAGGGAGGTGTCTGTAAGAAACAGCCCTGTTTTTACATTTTACACATTAATATTTAACACAGCAAATAAAACGTAACTATTAACCATCAGCAGGATGAGATATTTTGTCAGATGACAGTATTTAAGTCTATGGAGAACAAAAGAAGCGGACACTGCTTTGTCCACAGGGGGCGCCAATTTTGATACAAACTAAAAGTTCCTCACAGGAGCTTTAAGACACATAAAAAGTTTTTTCTCAAAGTACCAATTCTGTAATAAACACAACTATATTTTTACAATGACATCTGATCCATGGTTTAAAATACACTATAATACATTACTTTTAATTCTGGGATTGCACATTTAGATTTCCTTATTTTGTGGGACAAGTCCCCACAAAATCAGCTGGAAGAGGGATACTCGAAAACAACAAAACTAATGAACTAGTGTTAATTGATGTAGCTCCAATTCATAACAAGTGTATGAAGAAAGTAAAAGGCTTGAGAAAGACTTTAGTATTTAATTGAAAAGAATGTTACTTTGAGTTATAGCACTGATAGTTGTGTTCTTTTGTAATGCATTACTCAATGACAGCATTAGGCAATCAGTTAGGACTGTGTTATAGTCAACAGTCTTTGCTGGAAAACAACCTTGAAGAAGAAGGAGGAACAACACAAGTTCAACAAGTTCGACCTGAATTCTTGAAATTCTCTTGACACGCCTTATGGAAAAGCTCACCTTGTAGCTTTGACCTACTGAGGAATCAGGGCAGATGACTCTGTAAACACGTCAGGTTTTCTCAACTCAAAAAAACATCTCAGGTCTCAGAGGCCTAAAGTTACACATCTAAACTGAACAGTTTGGAAATTTCAAACAGGGACATTAATTCCCATGCATAATTTTGATGTTGTGCCTTTGCATTGACGCTCGTAGTCCCTTTTGTCCTTTTGGGAATACATTTTTTTGAGCAGATCTAATACATTTGTAAGCTCTATGCAGGTTTCTTTCAAATGTAACAGGTCTAGATTGCTCTCTTAGACCCAGCTGTTTAAAGTCATTTGCTCAGAGGGGTCAAACAACCAAATACGGATGACTGGTTTATGTTGTGTACATACAAGCAGAAGCAACATTTGATAATTTTGTTGACGAAGAGTAATTTACGCTGCAGAACATCTTATATTCTGCACCCTCAGGCGGCACCATTCTTGCGTGCTTGTGTTTGAATAATTCATCCTCAGATGAGTGGATTCTTTCTGCGGCAGTGGTGGGCACAAGGGTAGGTATAAATATCTGTCCCCTGTCTCTGCCAAGTGAGTCGCACAGATGAGAGTTAAAGCGGGGCTGTTTACATCCGCTGACTGGCTCTGCAAGAGAGCAGGCCTGGGGAGTCAGACAGATGAGATGGGAAGTGTTAGCCAAAGTTGATGGGCAAAGGCATGTTATGAAAGTGCTCTGGAGGAGGTGGCGGGGATGAGCTTAAAATACACTCTGAACTAGACCAAAGGGGAAGTCCAAAGAAGAAAAAGAAGAAGCTATCACTCTGCTGACACAGATAGATCCTGCAGGAAGAGGGTCACATCACTTTCTCCCACTCTAGTTTAACTCTACACACGTTTTGTTTGATTATCTTCATCCAAGCTTTCTGTGCAGTCTGATGTTTTTCAGGAAAATTCTTTGTTCATGTTTGCTTCATAATGCCTCAGTGGAAAATCCCCCCTCAGTGACATAGTGTGCAGCGGAAGTGTTATCCAAGTACATGCCAGCTTGGCCTGATTTCACCTGCAGTGTAACATTATCTAATGTGATAACACTCAGCACTGCAAATCACCCAGTGTTATAAGAGATAAGCAGCTGTCACTATTATTCGATACACAAAATAGAGACCTATGAATGTCATATCTTATTCCTACTCCATATTTATGACTTCAAATGAATATCTTAGCTTTTTATCTTGGGCTCTGCTCAATCAACTATTACACTGACACACACTGTTATATGCATGGCTGCTTTGACATGCTATGTGCCTTTCCTGACTATGAGGAAAAATGGGTTGTAGCATTCCTCCTGTAGAAATACTTTATGACTCGGTTATGGTGCAGTCTTTTTTTTTTTTTCATTTTTCTGTGACTGATGATGGATTAGGAATAAAAGGTTTTTCCTGCTCATCACACAACAAGGTGGCTGCCGCAGCTGAATTCCCATTCTGCCCTGCACCAATGTGAGAGTCTGACAGATCTTCAAAAGATCACTCCGTGAATTTTTCATTTTTAACTGCAATATGGAAAAACTCTGACGTTAATTCAAATCAGTGCAGCAGAAAAATGAGTAAATAGTTTACCGCAGAGGGCATCTTGTTAACGCTACAGGCGAAGGTGTCAAATGTAAAAAGATTGACAGATATCACTCCAATTTGCACACTTCTACACATCTGTTTACTTCATATCTATACAGAGCACCACCAGGCATACTTATGTCCATTTTCTTTCTGTCATGTTCTCCCTTTCTCTGGCTCTGTTAGAGTATCATTTGGTAAATTTAATCAAAATATTTATTCTCCTCATGTCTTCTTCACAGCATGTTATCGAAAAGCTCCAATATGCAGTATTGTCGAAGAAAAGTGTAAGTAATAAAAGGATAAAAACAAAGGATAAAAACAGTTAAAAGTTGTTATTTGGCAGAGAGGTGAGATGTAATGTTTCAAAAAGATTTCCAAATAATATAACTGGCCTTAACTTTTTCTGAAGTGCGCAGAGATCATACTTGTATCTGGTCAAACTCGATGCAACAGTAAAAAAAAAAACAGTTTATGTCCTAAAATGTCCAGATGCTAATTTAAATGTGTGGTGTAAGCGTTTAAAAAGTTAAAAAAATGTTTTTTTTCTTGCCGATGACTGAGAAAAATGCAGCTAAAAGAAAGCTATGAATCACAGCTCCCCTGAGATATGTATGCAGAAACACATTTATGTAAGAGTTTGTCTATAGCACAGACATAGAGCTTGTATCTGAGTCTTATGCTCATGAGAGATATATTGCAGAGCTATAAATAGGCTATGACTCAGATTTTTGGACTTGGGGGGCTGTTTCATAACAAGCAGAGTTTGTGTGTTTTTGTCTGTGCGCATGCATATGTTTATTGATGACTTCTTGTCGGTGCAGAAGTTCATAAATACCCTCTCAGAAAGTTTACAATCAGTCTGATTCTGCATCAGTCATGACCTCGGTTTGCAGACAGGTGATGTTTCTTTAATTCAAGAAGCTGCGGGTGAAGTAGTCGATACAGTGCGAGCTCAGACCCTGCTGACCACTCTGTAATCAGACGAGTTTCAGCATCATTTCAGTGTTGGCCCACCCCTAAACGCAAGAGCCATGCAGACTGATTGTGACGCAGAATACAAGAGCCTCAGACCCTTTTCTTCCTCATGCTGCTATTCTTGGTCTCTGGAATACGTCACACTGTTACCAAAGCAACCACATTTGATCGTTTTGGGGTGGGGGGGTTGGGTGGCTTATGAAATACTCATAAAACAAATTACATACCAAAAAGGATGTGTCTCAGGGGGGAATGTGAAGAGATTAATCACAACAACAAGTGAAAAACATGGACATAACTTCAGACAGTGTGATGAATCATTTTAAAATGATTGTGAAATTGTTGAAAAATGTATAATGTCTTTTAGATTCATCCTAATCACTGACACCAGGACAGAGTTCAGCTGTATAATGAAGTGGTCTGGAGGAGTTGGAGTGTGTGATAGAGGGATAGTTTGTTTGACTTTAGATTCAGGCAGCAACAACACACTCAAATCCAGCTGTCTCTGATGGAGCCAAATAAAGATAATATGTTCATTTTGAATATCATGTTTATCATGTTAAACATATAAATGTGAAAACTGAAATCAAACAAAAGGACAATAAAAATATCTTAACTGTGTTTTGCTATGACCAAAGCATCATCTACTTGTGTCACAAATGCAAATTGTTAATTGGCCATATGAGTCCGGCATTATAAATAAAGTTTGATTGATGGATTGATTGATTCCACAGAACAGGCTAAGTAGATATGGCATTAGGGTTATTGGGTTAGGGTTAAAATCACTGTCAAGGACCTATTTAGAAGCACGCTTCAGACCATTTGGAGTCCATTGGTACAAAAAAAAAGAGAAAAATGACATTTAAAAAAAAAATGTATGCAAACTTGTGCATATTTAATTAGATATTACCTCATTTACATATTCATACATAACATTTGACAAAATGTGTACTATAAAAAATATTTATCTTAATGTAAATTGTAAGC